CATTAATAACAGCTTGATAAATTACCAAATTGCCCTCACCCTTTACTAAAATTTCCCTCTATTCTTTGACAAATTGGTGAATTATTCATTCCTTCGCTTTTGCCTATCGTCACAAAGATTTTTTCTGAGCAGTATAGATATAGAGAGGTGTCAAGCAGTCTCATAACAAGGGACATTAAGTTCAATATATTGTTTGTAGTTTGGAGTGGGTTTCTGTTATAATGTGATATTTTAGACGGTCATATGCTTCTACACCTATTTCTCCTTTATTAATAGTAAAAGAAAACGTTTATTGCTATCAATTTTGCAATTAGAGAATTTCATAATCTACTCGCTACCTTGAGATAGAGGATACATCTTATTACTATTCTTTTCTTTTTTTTTTAATTATTTTTTTAAGAAACGGTTCCTACGCTTGAAATAGGTTTTTTTTTTTGAGAGAAATGATGGATTACCAAAATAGTAATCCAGCCAGCTAAATTAAGCAAAAAGGTTGTTACAAAACAAAGCACTCATCCCCAACCAAGAATGAGTACCCTAGATCATCACAGTTTTACAAAATAAGAAATTTCACCAAGTCTTCTCTCCTACTGATATCTAGCAACAAAATATCAGAAGCTATAGCCCAATACCAACTGTTATACAAATTTTTTATTTTTAAACCACAAAATAGATCACAAAATCTTCCAGCTTAACTTTCATTCCAGCAAGTCTATCACCCCCACCACAGGAACCGAAACATTCCCAGCATTTGCAGCAGCCTTCTTTCTCCTCCTCTCTTGTAATCTAGCTGCACGATCAGAAATCTGTGACCCTATCCAAAATTTTGCAAAAGTCAAAATTTTATTCAAAAGTTCTAATGATCTCCTCCTCTTATTTGTAAAAATTCTATCATTTCTTTCCTGCCAAATACACCAAATAAGAGAACAAATAATCACATCTCTTTCTATATTCCCACTAACATGTTTCTCATCATTCCAACTCTTCCAAATTTCTTTTAAAGAATATAAAGTAAAATCTTTTTTAATATTCATTTTGTGTTGAATAGACCTCCAGATTGAGTATACAAACTCACATTTAACAAAGATATGAAGATGATTTTCCTCTTCCTTAGAACAAAAACAGCACATCATATCTGTATGAATACCTTTCTTCTCCAAATTTTTTTTTGTGTTTAAACCACTTCTTAAAGCCAACCAAACCAAAAACTTCACTTTTAAAGGAACAGGGAGTTTTCAAAGATTGATATATGCATACCTTAATCCTCCATCAGTAAGAAAATGATAATATGATTTAACAGTGAACTTGCCTTTTGCTTCCCAGATCCACATTCTTTTATCCTCCCTGTGAACAAAGTTAACAAACATAATACTCTTCAACATATCAAAATATTGAAAAACCAAATTTCCAGTCAGTTGTCTTTGAAACTTGATATCCCAAACCCACTCATTATTAATTTTTTTCCTTAAACTGCTAATAGAAGCATAGGGAAACTCTGCAATATGAAAAAGCGCAGGAAACAAAGAGGCCAGTGTATTTGTACTTGACCATTTATCAAACCAAAACAGAGTTTGATTTCCATTCCCCACTTTAACACAAGTACTGCACAAGAAGCTTTCAACATTAGTAAAAAAATTCTTCCAGAAATGAGATAAAAATCTCTTGCCAGAATAAAAATATTCTGTCCAGTTTTTGTTCTCAAAATACTTGTAAAAACTTATCTGTTTCCATAACTCCATTTTATTATCAAACCACTTCCAAATCCATTTCCCCAACAAAGCTTTATTCATAGTTCTCAAATTTATAATCCCCAATCCACCAACCTTTTTGGGTTTGCACACTTCATTCCATTTAACTAAATTAGAAGAATTCTTATGTTCCAAAGAACCAGTCCACAAAAACCTTCTCCTCATCCTATCAACTTTATCAATAAGCCACCCAGGAAGAGAGAAAAAAGACATCCAGAAAATAGGCATGGAAGAAAGAACAACATTAACTAGCACTAATCTCCCTCCTCTTGATAAAGACTTTCCTTTCCATAAAGCTAATCTTCTTTCAAACTTCTCAATTAAAGGAGACCAATCTTCTTTTTTTAATTTTCCATGTCTCAAAGGAACTCCCAGATAAGTAATAAGAAAGCTTCCACTTTTGCAATTTAACATGTAAGCCAAATTATGCTGTAAAGTCTCATTATCTTCAAGAGCAATAAGCAAACTCTTGTTAAAATTTATTTTTAATCCAAAAGCTGATTCAAAACAGTATAAAATCATTTTCAAAATTGTTAACTGTTCTCTTTTGTTTTTACAGAAAACAAGAGTATCATCAGCATATTGAAGGCAATAAACCTTCTGATTCATATTATAAGGACCCAATCCCTCAATAAGAGAAGCTTCAGCTGCTAAATTCAGCATTTTAGAAAATGTATCAGCTGCCAAAACAAACAAAAGAGGAGATAGAGGATCACCTTGACGAACTCCTCTTTTGGACATAATCCAACTACCAGTTTTTCTATTTATGTTAATGGCAGACATACCTCCTTTTAAGCACAAATTCACCCAATTTATCCACTTACTTCCAAATTTTTTAGCCTTCAAAACTTCCAGAATAAAATCCCAATCTAGCATATCATAAGCTTACTTGAAATAGGTTTTGAAATATATTTACAATTAAGGATAATATCCCTATCCTACACGCGAAAATACATTTCTACCATTAATAGTTTGTCTTGAATACTGTGATAAAATGTTAAATAATGGTATATTGTTTTAGTATAAATTGTCGTATTCTGCAAAACCGAGTTTGACATAGAAGATATGCCAATTATATTAACGAAATAAGTTCTGTAACCGGTATGTTATTAAAATATAATGTAGTATTTGTGTCTTATATATTTCGTAACATGTTTTTCTAAACTTATTTCTATTTTATTAATGGTAAAAAGAAAAATTATTACAACTTATAGAAGATACATCTTGTTCCTTTTCTAACCAAAAGAGAAAAAGAAAGCTTTATCACTTAAAGTAGGTTTGAATTGGGTGGATTTTTAAAAAAAAAATTTTCCATAGTAGGATATGAGTAAATAAATCACATATATTTGCATTTAGACTGAGATCTTATTTACACGTTACATCCGGATATGAGATGCACACACAAATACATATATAACATTAATAACTCATTTTATATATTGTTGTTATCAATAAATAATAACATAATTGTCTTATTCTACAACTAGTTTGACAAATAAGATATGCTAATTAAATATATGAAGTTGGTTTCTATTACTAGCTAGCTGTTCAAGTAACGCGTGGCGCTCGTGTCTCCTATAAGGTGCAAAAATGCACATTTAAACTTTTTAATATTTTGCCTATGGTGGAAAGAATGATTGTTACCATCAATCTTAACTAAAAAGTTTTCATGATCTACCACTTGGTATAGAAGATACAATTTGTTTTTTGAAAAGGAAAAAATTTGCAATCTTAAATTCGGTTTGAAATAGGTTGATTTTAGTTCAAAAATTATCTAATAGGATATGAATAAATATATAAAATATTTGCATTAATATTAAGGTTAATATTCTTATACTACATGTTACCATCCCTGTATGAGATTAATGCATAAATACATTACTGTCACTCTATTTTATTTACTGCAGTGAACTATAATTAAAGATAAAATTGTTAGTATAAATTGTTGTATTCTGTAACGGCTAGTTTGATGTAGAAGTTATGCTAATTATATTTAATGGAGCAAGTTATACGGTTGTTAAGTTGTTCAAGTATCACGTGATGTTGGTGTCTCCTATAAATTATTAACGTTAGATATGTATTTGTGTGTGCATCTATATCCGGATGTAACAATAAATAATAACATAATTTTCGTATTCTATGCCTAGTTTGGCAAAGAAGATATGCCAATTATATATATGAAGTAGGTTTCTATTACTAGTAAGTTGTTCAAATAACGCGTGGTGCTTGTGTCTCCTGTAAGTTGCAAAAATGCACATTCAAACTTTTTTAATCTTTTTTCTATGGTGGAAAGAATGATTGTTACTATAAGTCTTAACTAGAGAGTTTTCATGATCTACAATGTGGTATAGAAGATACAACTCATTTTTTGAAAAGGAAAAAGTTTGCAATCTTAAATTAGGTTTGAAATAGGTTGATTTTAGTTCCAAAATTATCTATTAGGATATGAATAAATATATAGAATATTTGCATTAATATTTAGTTTAATATTCTTATACACCATGTTACCATCCCCAAACGAGA